AACTTATATAAGCTTATAATAAAATTATGTCATTTATTTCTTTATCTCTTCAATTACCTCTTACTAAGGAACTTATGTGAATGTTATTTTAGGATATATACATATTTCACATTCTTACTTAGAAATTGTATTTCTAAGCATTTTAAAGTATATGCCTTTCATATGTATTTATTTATAATTTGCTTAGTAATCTATATTATATCATTTAATGTAAAAATCACAGTAGTAGACATATTACTACAAATCCTTTATATACAAAGAAGAATGTAACACCTACTACACAGATTATCGTCTATATTTATCGTTTCTTCTGTACTTCAGATATCATAAAATATTGAAGCAAATGGGTAACGTATAACAAATGCTAAACAGCTACAACAAACCTAAAAGATTCATATATTAAGTGTACATAATTGCATATAAAGAAAAAGCAAAAATCTATATATATAGTTGATATAACATTTCGTTAGAAACAATACCTGTAATAACATTAAAATTAATGTTAGCTTAGGTTCCCTTGTTGGTCCAATATTAATTAATAAAAAATTGATTAGAGTTAAGTTATTACATGTCACGGTGTCTTCGTCACTCTTTTGCCATTGGACAATTTTTGCGGTTCTAAAGACCCACATTAAAAATTTACCTATTTTAAAAAAATAATTTATCTCATGATCTAGATATAAAAGGCATATATACAGAAACAAATCTATCGATGCAACATACCTAAAGGATTCAGATCAGAATATTTGAATACTGTGACACTGGTTTCCAATTTATCTGTATCTTTGTTATACCTGCAGAAAGATATAAAATTGATTTTTTTTTCCTTTTCTTTCCCTTTTTTACAATCCTAATTCAGCATGTTATTATTTGTAAACAAAAAGAAAAAAAAAGAAACTTACTTTGGAAGTCTGTGTCTAGGGCATGGTACAAAATGAAACAGTTGTGGTACACTATATACAAAATTAATGATTTGTGGGATAAAAAATAATAAAGTAGTTTTACTGAAATGTCCAATAATACCAACAACTGCAAATGTCATTCCAGACAGATAGCAAAATGTATCTCCTACAAATACTTTTGATGGGTACCTTAAATGCAATAAGAATATTTTAATATTACATATTATAGTTTTATATATACATATAAATAAGAAATATGGTAATAATTAAATGAAGAAAAACTATGAGATTCTAGTCAAAGTAGGAGACTAATATAAGATGATATAGTTTGTACATTCTACATTCTACATTTTATGATCGACGATCTAATGGCAAAAGCAAGCAAGACGCGTGCGCCTTACGAATAGTCACGATCACGCTTGCCGAGAAATTTGGCGAATGAACGATGAGGCACGAGTATAGTCGCCCATTCGGGCGTGGTTTGGATACGACATTTAAGACGATTTCAGGTAAGTCTCTGAGTGAAGAGACTCAGACTAAAAGAAGCAATCATCGGAGTAATACCAAGGTTATTCTGGGAACATAAAAAAATATGCTTTACTATCGAACGAAGAACGATCTACCTATCTGCGGAATACTGAAAATCGAATAGAACAACACACGTTTAGTCAGCGAGGACGCTACTGTCTTCTAGTCATAAGGAGCCATTCAAAATTAAATGGCACGTCGGAGAACAGTGACGTCACGACTAGAACGTCACGTCGCGGGGGCATTGGATCCTCGTCACGTTGCATTGTGAGTTTATATCAAATTATGCATTATCTTTTATCGTAATATATTATATCGTCATAGTGTTTCTATTATATTTCTTAAATCGATTACTTGGATCATCAATTAATTATCCCTTATATATATATATATGTATATATGTATATATATATATATATTTAAAAAATGTATATTAATATGTGTAGTATATATAAATGTTTTTATAAACGTAGACATTCTATTTTCAGATTATATTGATTATTTGAATATTTAGAAGAAATGTTTTGCTTCAAGAAAGATACGGATAGAAAAACGTAAAATGAAAAACTGAACTTATTTTTAAGTGGAGAATAGTGCCATGCAGACCCGCCTAGATGGGAAGCTGGCGTTACTTTATACGTTGTTGGTTTTACAAGTTCTTATTGTTATGGTTTATGTTGTAACAACTCCACCATCTGAAATAGTTGTTGCCAGTACGCGTAGCTCTGTCAGTTTTGTTAACTTTGAAGAAACTCAGGTATAAAAAAAAAAAATTTATATTATTTTATAAAGACACATTTTTTGACTATTAAACAAATATTTTATAAACTATGACATTTATTATCTAATTGTAGGGTCATCATACAGAACGAACAATACACAAAAGACTTCCAAAATATCAGACAATCAGCGGTGAGACATACCTAAATGATATCAGAACTTTTAAATTATTTCGAATATACAATCATACTACATGCTGGAAGCATGGAGTCGATGATCGTAAAATGGGGATTAATGAAATCTCTGAAAAATGTATTTGTAATCAAGGTTGGCATGGGACAGACTGTGGACAACCTGAAGTGGTGTGGAGAGCAATCATGGCATCTAAGCAAAATATTAAATTGAAACATCGTAAAATAGCTAGACGCATAATTCATACTTTTTACTTGAACGAATATAATTCGGCAATTGCAGAAGTTATTGTAGAAGAACTATACGATGTAGTTGACCTTTTTGTAATTTGTGATTTTAATGGTGCAGAAGATAATTTTCATCATAAGTTATCTAAAGGATTGTTGCAGCGGGAACAAAAAAAGATTTTATATATTAATGCAGCAACAAAATCTCGCAAACCATCGAGAGTACTATCTAAGTACATATGGGAGAAAGTAAAGACTGCCGTGCAGAATTTAAGAGATGATGATATTTATGTAATGACTGAGCCAGAGCAAATATTAAATTCTAGAGCACTGATGTTCCTTAAAGTATACGATGGATGGCCTCAGCCCATAGGCTTCAGGTTAAGATGGTTGATCTATGGGTTTTATTGGCAACATCCGCTTAAAACAACAATAACTCTTAACGCATGTACTATCGGATTAATGCATGAAGCTTATAAGTCAAATTCTATAATTCTGCAACAACAATTATTGGAAGAAACGAGCGAAAGAGATGTTCTTGGATTAGTAATTGGAGATTTAAATCATTACGGAGGATGGTATTGTTATCTATGTCAAGCTCCAGCCAATATTATAATAAACCTTCGTAATACAAACAAATCTAACAAAATGCCAAAAATTGAGAAAAGGATCGATGTTCCTTTTATAGAAGATCTTATAGGAAGTGGATTATGGATAGATGGTAAAACTAATCTCCTAAGGGTCTCAAAATCTCATGATCTGTATTTTGCTCCTGAAACTGTACTCAATAACACATGGAAATATGACTGGCTGATAGAAAATTTTTACGCTAAGTTAGACTACTATTGAGACACTGGTCATACTCTGACTGTGATATTACTTCATACTCATTACTCAGCATATATTGTATAATATTATATACTGAATTTATATACTAAAATACTATGTTGATTAAAATATGAATGTTAAATGATTTATACATATATAACTTATAAAGAAATGAATGGCCTATATAATTCTATTTTTAATTTAAAAATCTCCTTTTTGCCTTATATAGACACTATAAATATTCATTTAAATATTTCTTTATCATTTATAATATCTTATGTTAGACTTACCAATTATATTTAAATAGCGCAAGAGAAGTGGCTATGTATGGAAATATAAAGTACAATGAAAATCTATGAGCTTTCCACAAGTCTCCTGATAGCTCTAAAATATTGAATATTACTATACTGATAGCAATTATCAAACTCTGTCCCACTTCCAAACCATTTATACCAGCCAATATGTTAATAGCATTTGTACAAAATACTGCTAACATTCCCATATAAACGTAATAGAATATCCATAAATCTACTGAATATCCAAGCCAAAATCTTAAAGGTTTTGGCACTATAATCAATGTCGAATTAAAGTTTACGTAATAGACCATTAAAAGTGGCAAAGTGGCAATAGTAGGTAATAATAATTTGTGTCGCCAACGAAGATCCAAAACATCATCGGCAAAACCCAAAAGCAGCATACAACAAATAGAAAGTAGAGCTGCCAAAAATTCAACAAACTGTAATGTAAGTTTATAAGTTATTAACTTCATTCCAATACTAAAATTTAGAAATTTTCTCTACAACATATAGAGGATGTTTCTAAATATGTGGGCATAATTTCAGAGATAGTTTTATTCATTTTAGTCTACTAAAACTATCCCTGAAGTGATGTACATATATCTTAAAACACTGTATATATTTATTATTTCTTTCTATGCCAGTTAATATTTATTGAAAATTATATAAGTATGTAAATTTACCTCGTTATGTGGAAAATGTTCATTTTTGAAAATATAATCTGTGAACGGTACAGGTATAAATAAGAACATTATTATAAGAAATATACATCCTGTAACAACTCCTAATGCTTCCGGACTGTAAGAATGAAGTTAATGAAGGTAATATCAACTAAGAAATGTTCATTTGTTTTATAAATATTATTTATAACTTACACTTTCAGATTGTTCCTCTTATTCATATCAATTCCATAGAGGTTAGCTTTAATGAAGAGATCTTTTAATCTGGGAATTAAATTAATGGTAAAAAAATATGCACCGATTGACATAATAACATTGATAGATAACGGAAGAATTAATTGCCACATTTCACTTTCAGAATTCATTAGACACTAATTAAAAGGAAATAAACTTTGTATATGTAGAAAAATAAATGAAAATAAAATATCGCGTATCTCCGTTGACACATGTACGAAGTTACGTGAAATAAAAATTGATAAACAACCTAGGATATCAAATATATAAATGTATGTTGAAATAATATACTTTTATCAATTAATTGACATGATTTTATTGTAAACAAATCGTTTCACCATTGTATAACAAGACCGTCATAATCACATGTACATAACTGGAACTTGTTCATTAAATGAACGTGAAAAGAAAAGCGTGTTCAAATATGAATACAGAATGAATAGAAAATGTATACACATAAATATAATTTCACTCGGGAAGACGAATAATAACTAAAGATAAATTATATATAAAATATGTACACACATCGATAAAAATAATTATTTACGCTTAAAGTTGGTCTTGAGTTAGAATTTTCCCGCTTCTTGAAAATTTGAATTAAAAAAATAAATGTTAGAAATAATACGTTGATACGTTGTTGATTTTATTACTTGTGTCTTGTGAAGATTAGGACAGAAGAATTGTTTTCTTATTATTTTTTTTTGTTTTAAACTATATTTTTAAAACAATGGAATATAAATTAAAGTCATATTTCAAATCAAGAAGCCTTTCTTACTCAACTATAGTTCAATTCGTCATTCATAGCTCGATAGTATTCGAGAGTGTTCAATTTTACGAAGTTAATATCAAAAGTAAATATTTTATTTGATAAGTGTTAATTTGAGGTTGGAAATTGTATTAAAACATTGATAGTAATTATAAAATTACTCATTATAAAAATTCATTTTAACAAAGAATCGATTTATTACATTGATTTCATAATCTAACCTTGACAGGTATTTAAATAATTTATTTACCAAAGAAGAAAATAAAATATATCATAGAAATAGAAAAGAGAAAAGTTGAGAGAGACAAAACGTTATAACAAGAAACAAATAATAAAGAAGACAAATAAAAAGAAACATTTAAAAATACTCGATTTTCAATGGATAGTGAAAAACAGAAAGATGAAATTACTGCTTTAGAAAGCATCTACAATAAGGAAGAATTTTCTTATTCCAATGATGATAAACTTTTTCAGTGTAATTTCAAGATATTTATAACTCTTCCAGAAGAATATTATTTTACGTATAAAGATACTAGACATTCAGAAAAATCAATAGAGACAGTACAAATATCACATTTACCACCATTGTCATTGTATGTTACTTTACCAGAAGATTATCCTTCCACTTCACCGCCAATGTTTTCGTTGTCTACAGTTTGGTTATGCCATGCACCACTTGCTAAATTGTGCAAGAAGTTAGATAGTTTATGGGAAGAAAATAAAGGCCTGGAAATATTGTTTGTATGGGTTGGATTTTTACAGCATGAAACCTTACAATTTTTAAATATAAAACAATCTATTAGCATGGACTCTGTTTATACGTCTTATAAAATAACTTTGGAAAAAGCGCAGAATTCTGAAAGACACGTAGAAGAATCAAGTTTACCAAAGCACGTAGAAGAGAACGAAGCAAAAGAAACTGTTGCTAAAGATATGAATAACAGTAGTAGAAGTAGTTGTAGTGATAAAAGTAATAAAAGTAGTAAAAAGGAATTTCAGAGGCAACGTTATAAAGGGATAGAAAATAGAAAAATAGATAAGAGAGCTTTTTCTGATTGTCCCTTTGGAAAGAATCCAATTCAAGTTTTAATAGATTATAACGAGAAACGTAATCATATTGAATTCAACAGAAGTTTGTATACTTGTAAAATTTGTTTTACAGATAAGTTAGGAGAACATTGTTTTAAATTTTTACCCTGTTCTCATATATTTTGTAAAACTTGCATCAGTGGTTATGTAGAAGTCAAAATTAAAGATGGGGATGTAAAAAATATTTCTTGTCCCGAACAAAAATGTACTTCTGAAGCAACACCTGGACAAGTATGTGTTTTATATATATATGTAAATAAAACTGTGACACTCTGCATATAAAAAAAAATATATATAATAGTTATACGCTTGATTTTATATATAAACTCTCTCTATTAACAATTATATTTCTTTATTTAGATTAAAGATTTGGTTAGTCCAGAAATGTTTGCTAAATATGATTCTATATTATTAAGTGTTACGTTAGATACTATGACAGACATAGTTTACTGTCCAAGACGTCATTGTCAATATCCAGTCAGTCGTGATCTTAATGAAGGAATGGCAAACTGTCCTGTATGTCAATATGCATTCTGTGTCTATTGTAAAATGGTTTATCATGGTATAGAACCATGTAAAGTGGCTTCAAGTAAGTATATACGTAATTATATAATAATTACTAAAATATCATTATAGCAAATATATATATAATTGCTTATTATTATGTGAATTATTATATAAATTATTATATAAAATAATAAAAATATTATTTAACAGCTGAAAAGCAACAATTAGTTAACGATTATCAAGCTGCTTCAGACAATGAAAAACTTCTAATGGAAAAGAGATATGGTAAAAAACAACTTCAAATATTAGTTGAAAATACTATGTCAGAGAATTGGATCAAAGTAAATAGTCAAAATTGTCCTCATTGTTGTGCTGCTATTGAGGTCCGTATTTATATTATGATTATATATTTGTATATGAATGATTTTTCTTTAATATTATATTACATAATAATTATATTTTAGAAATCCGACGGTTGTAATAAAATGACTTGTTATAAATGCCACACATACTTCTGTTGGTTATGTGGATTAAAATTAAATCCACAAGAACCATATTTGCACTACCGTAATCCGGATTCTCCGTGCTTTAATATGTTATATCATGGCTTAATGGTAAATGATGACGAAGACGATTATGATTTTCTGTTTCCTGAAATATTAGATGACAATATTCAAGGTTTTTCTGATGATGAAGATTACGAAGATGATGGTTTAATCATTGATTATTAGTTTTTTTTTAATAATATCATTACAAACAATTTTAATTTATTATTATTTTTGAAATCATAAAATACATGTACTTTATTTTTCTTCTTTCATCATATTATTTCTTTCTAAAAAGGTCATTATTATTTTGTTTCATGGGAATAAAATATGAGAAATTAAGAAAATTCTTTTGTTGAAGCTTTACAATGTATTTTATAAAATTAAATATTTCAAATGTACGAAAACTACTTAAATTGGTTTGTTAATTTATAAATATAACTGTACAGTTATTGATTTTGCACGAGATACAAATTTTTATCGAAAATTAAAATTTGTTTTTCAAAACTAAATGTAGTAAATCTTTAAATCTGACCCTTGTAGAGGTAATAGTAGATTCGTTCGTTGCTGACCCTCTGGTGGGAAAGGTATAATTGTTACCGATCAATGCCTTAGTTTGAAAATTAAGTAAGTGCGGATTTTTTCGATTAAAATAACTGCACTCACTTAAGCAAAAAAAAGTTGGCATAAAACCGCAACAGCAGAAAGAAAGAAATTTATTACATATATCTATAATTTAAAGCGCAGAGAAGTGTTTTAATAGTTCGATAATGTAAAAAACTCATTGTAATTTTCAAGACGATGTCTTATCACGATTGTACATTTATTAATACTAATAAATATATATTTTTTTTTAAATATTAGCAATATTTTATTTACACATACCTAAAATAGAATATAATTAATTTAACTATGATTGATGAATTTTAAAAATTTAAATGTTTGATGAATTCTATAGACTCCTAAGAATAATGTAATAGGAGACAATTTAAAAACAACAAAATTATAACAAAGATCATTATTTAAATTTTCGCCTGAATAAAATATCTTATATAGGTCACWAAAGAGAAATATTAATTTTTTAATTTGTAAAGAGTGAAAAAATATTATTATTTATATTCTCTACGCATTTTTTTTTATAGATTGATAGAACTAATATTATAGAAGAGTATAAATAATATTGAATAGCTTGGAAAAATATAAATAAATGTATMTATCAATATATTTATTATATCTATATATACTGTGAAAGGCATTTAAATGCCACTCTCCAATCAAAATTTTGACGTTTTTCTAAAATCCAATGGGAATCCAGATGTTCCGGAGGCTGAAATTGTTTTCCTCCTTCCACAAAATTGAAAGATTTGTAACAGGAGCGCATGACGATAAAAGAGGTATTCGAAGTACAGAGTTTGACGCTGACAACAAGAGCGCTGATTGGTTGATAATAGCCAATCAGCTTTTAGTAGACGCCCAGCATCATAGTCATTAGTTAGTTATTAAAAAATTAATTTAATATACTTCCAGACATAAATTATAAACAATTAAGCATTCAAAATACTCTGCAGACTTAAAAAAATAATATAATTTCTTAAAAATATACAAAAAAGCTTCAGAAAAGACTTTTTTATAGATGATCGTAATGATGTATTAAACTGGATTTTAGTCACTCATTCAAAAATTAATTTAATATACTTCCAGACATAAATTATAAACAATTAAGCATTCAAAATACTCCGCAGACTTAAAAAAATAATATGATTTCTCAAAAATATACAAAAAAGCTTCAGAAAATACTTTTTTTTATAGATGATCGTAATGAACTATCAACCAAGATGTTAGTCACTCATTAAAAAATTAATTTTTTATACTTTTAGAAATCAATAGTAAAACTTTTAAGAACTTGGAATACTCTACAGACTCCAAAAAATAGTATGATATCATAAAAGTATATAAAATATGTTTTAGAAATAACAATTTTCTTAAAAAACATCGTGGTAATATTATACCTTAACCTGGACCTTGGGCACTCATTAACGCTCGATTTATTTAATTTTCAAGCACAAATTATATACTTTTATATATTTGGCGTATTGTTTAGACTCTAAGAAATATTCTAAATTCATAAAAGATAATAAGAACTATCTATTTGAAGAGAAATAAATGAATTAAAGAAATAAACTTTTGCTTACAATCGCAAAATAAATTAATAAAGCCATGGCGCCGGTGGCGTGATTCATACTTAGTTCCGCTTAATTCCGCTAGGGTAAGAAAAAACTGTCAATGTACGTACAATACAAATATAGGCTATGCGCAGTTTAATGTATTTAGTTTACAAATTTTAAGTGATGTAATAATCAAGTGAATAATATTGTTTATTAATTTCAATGTTTTTTATTTTCTCTCTATAGTGATTACCAATTCAGGATGAAAATAGTTACATGTGATAGCTTGCTTTGCGATTCTGTTATGTCTTAACCTTACAATGACAATATTCTACATTAAATTTAAAATACCAATGAATTCCAAACATTTTTTTTATTCAGTTACTATAACAAACAATAGTAAGTAAATTACCAATATTCATTTCAGTTAAAATAGTTTACCCAGTGAAATATATATATATTATATTCATATTTAACTCATATCATGTGTGTGGGCCTCTGCTTCGTTTTTTAAGTTTGTTTAATTTCATATATAAACTATTTATATAGTTTTACAGAAGTATGCAGCTCTACATTTTAAATTCTAACCAAAGACCATTACACACCAAAGAAGAAGACCCCGTTACACCCCATGAGACAAATGGATATACATTTCATTTTCTTAAGGCTAACGCTATAAAAATTTGTGTCAACTAAGTTCTCCTCTGTAAGGACTTTAAGTGAAAAATTATGCGAAAAAGTACAAATGCAATGACAAGATATAATCAAAACCAGAACCCTTTTAAAAATATAGACAACAATCTTATATAAGTCAAAAACCAATATTATATTTATTACTCTCATAAAAAATATTTATTCAAAGCATTAAAGAACTTATTCTTTTTGTGATAGATGTTCAATCATTTTTCTGGAAAAGAGAGCACATTATTTTCAACAACGATAAAAAGAATCCGACATTACCATATAGTAGTATTTTATCAAAAGAATTGAAAATGGAATGCATCCTAGTTTTTACAAATTTAAAAGACATATAAGAAATACATTATAATAAGAATTCTTTTCTTGTACAAAATGTATTGCTAAGCCTTGTATCAGGTAACGAATGACATTATTGTTAATCGACTTACTAGAAAATATCGAAGACTTCTATCAACTTCTTTCTTTTTCATAGATATGCTGTGTGAATCAATATGCAAATAGAATGCAGCAACAGTGAAAAGGATCTGGTAAAAGGCAAACATTATTATCTTGTTTTAGGAAGAAACCAATATTGTAATACAATGTTAAAAAATATTTATTTAATGCATTAAATAACTTATTCTTTTTGCATAGGTGTTCAATTAATTTACTAAAAGAGAGAGAGTATGATTTTTCACTACGATATGCAGAATCCAACAACACTGTAATCATGAAAGATTTTAGAAGACGCTAAGTAAAGTGTTCTTTTCTCACATTGGAAAGAAACTATGTCCTATAGTATTCTATCGAAAGAATTAAAGAAGGAATGCATCCTAGTTATCAGAAATTTAAATAACAAATAGCAAATACATCTCATTAGGATATTCTTAATATATAAAAAGTGTACTGCCAAGCTTTGTACTGAGTAATTAAGAAGACTTTTAAGAATCAACTGGCAACAAGTAATGCAAAGAATACTATTCTTTAGAAATACGAGATATTGTTAAAGCAGAAATGCCATTAATAAGAAATATTGAAAGAATGGTCTTACTTTCACAAAAATAAAGAAGAAGAAAATAATCTTAACTGGAAATCAAATTCTACTGATCACCAAAGTTTTTCAAATGCTTTCTATGATTAAACTGTACTTGTGCCATATATAATTTTTAATAAGGATCATTTTATATAATTTAAAAGGTACGGCAATAGAAAAGAAATACTATAACATTTCTAGTATCTTTTCTAATATACATTAAAGAGAATAAACTGTAGGTTTTACAATTTTACTTGAGATAGTGAAACGAACTAATAATTTCATTTCCTTTGTAGGGTTTTTTGTGTAATTTCGTAATAGAAAAAGAGATTAAAAGACTAATCTAGAAGCACAAGATCTGAGTAGAAAAGAAGAAAACTGTATTATCATGAAGAAACATATCACATTATTTTACATTGGGTAGCATTATATAATAATATAAAATGTATTTGTTGTTTCATTCAACGGATTGCTATATGAATTTTCTTAAAAATAATATGTTTGTATACTTAATACTCCGAGTCTGAGTTTGTAAGTAAAGAATGAAAATTATTATTTATTAAATATATCTTTAATTTAAAGCGCATAGAAGTGTTTTAATATCTCGATAATATAACAAACACATTGTAATATTTAGGACGATGTCCTACCACGATTGTACATTTATTAATACTAATAAATATATATATTTTTTTTAATATTTGCATTAGCATATTTTATTTACACATACCTAAAATAGAATATAATTAATTTAACTATCATTGATGAATTTAAAACATTTAAATGTTTGATGAATTCTGTAGACTCCTAAGAATAATGTAATAGAAGACAATTTGAAAACAACAAAGTTATAACAAAGATCATTATTTAAATTTTCGCCTGAATAAAGTATCTTATATAGGTCACTAAAGAGAAATATTAATCTTTTAATTTGTAGAGAGTGAAAAAATATTATTATTTATATTCTCTAAGTTTTTTTTATAGATTGATAGAACTAATATTATAGAAGACTATAAAAAATATTGAATAGCTTAGAAAAATATAAATAAATGTATCTATCAATATATTTATTATATCTATGTATACTGTGAAAGGTATTTAAATACCACTCTCCAATCGAAATTTTGACGTTTTTCTAAAATCCAATGGGAATCCAGATGTTGCGATGGCTTGAATTGTTTTCCTCCGTCCACAAAATTAAAAGATTCGTAACAGGAGCGCATAACGATAAAAGAGGTAACAGGAGGTAAATTGACTTTCCGACCGAGATGTTCCGATGGTAAGGTAAGACCCAGACTTATCGACTGTACAGATCGGATGGTAACTTACCATGCGAGTTATCGATAGTCGGTAGGTTACTATTAAATTAACGCGGTCGGTAAGAAACCCCTACTCCTGATACCTTCTATACCGTCATGCGCTCCTGTTACAAATCTTTCAATTTTGTGGAAGGAGGAAAACAATTCTAGTCACCGCAACATCTCGATTCCCATTGGATTTTAGAAAAACGTCAAAATTTTGATTGGAGAGTGGCATTTAAATACCTTTCACAGTATATATAGATATAATAAATATACTGATAGATACATTTATTTATATTTTTCCAAGCTAATCAATATTATTTATACTCTTCTAGAATATTAATTCTATGAATCTATAAAAAACGATCGAGATAATAAATAATTATAAAACAATTAATTATAAAGTCATTAGTTTTGGTATATGAAATGGATAGAAGGAACCAAGGAAAGGAATAAAAAAATGTGGTATTAAGTAGGAAGGTATAAGAAACTAATTACAATTATAATATTTATGGAAAGAGGTTTTTGGCTGGATTTTATTTAAAATGGAATGTTTAGCATATAAAATATGTTACTCGAGTAGCTTACTTGCTCACTTTATGAATGAAATAATCATCTTTATAGTCATTCTTATTTAAGTGAAATGGTAATGTTTAAGTATATACAATACATTTTTAAGATAAATTATTATTTAATCATTAAGAGAGGAATCTTTACGTAAAACATACGAACTTTTTTTATATACGTCTGATAATTTAAAAAGTGTGTGTGTCAGCTTTGACGCACCACTGGATTTTTCAATTATTAATAACTATCTGCTTAAATAATTAATTAATATATGAAGTGAGCAGTTATATGGGTTTTGATTGATCAATTAGTATGCAATTAAGAGCACTTATTCATTTGTTTCTGCTGTTGCGGTTCTATGCCAACTTTTTGTTGCACGCATTCAGGGGTAGGTAACAAACGAATCTACTATTATCTACAGGGGTGGGAAACGAACAAATCTTTTGATGTGTTCCTTTGATACGACAAAACAGTGATTGGGATGTACCTGTATAAAGAAAAATCAACTTACCACAAAATTCCCATACGTATTCGCTTTGGCATAATACCAAAATAAAAAATTAAATTTGTATTGTATAAATGTCAGATAAATAATAATAACCAATTTAAATTGGATGTATATGTGTGTGTATAACTATAATTTAATATAATTTCTATATTTATATTTGTGTGTATGTTGTTGGTATGAAGAGTCTCGGAAACTACCCTACAGACGGTGAAACACATTTTGATTTTTTGTTCAGATTTATATCGACAGTATCAGAAGATAGCAGCACTTGTCCTTTAGTAATTTTATTTGAGATAAACAAATTGTCATCCTTTAATGGAACATTGCTGATTGCGAATTGTGATTACCTATACGTGAAAATAATAAATTATTTCAAGCATATAACAATAATTAAGTCGAATAATTAATAAGACGATAAAATCTTAATCGATAGACCACAACAGTAAGCATCTTCATGGTGTTATCTAAAATACAACATTATCCCTAATTCTTTCGAAACAAAGATACTTTTCTTTGTGGAATCATATAAAATATTTTTAATCGAAAAAGATTAAAGAGATAAAACGAGAAATATATATATAAATATATATATATATAATCTGGTATCAGATAAAAAGAATAGATTATTTTTGTCGTTGAAGAGGTCCTTCTTCTATTTAACGCAAGACTCGTGATAAAATAGCGTGACGTATATAGACCAGAGAGGAGGACGGTCGAATTACGTCGCATGGATAATCCGGGTGAAACGCTTACCTCTCTCTTCGGGCAAAAGTGCGAGGGGTCTACGACATAGAACTACAGAGAGAAGGAGAAAGAGAGGGAAAATAGAAAGAGTGGGATAAAGACAGACAGAGAGAGAGAGAGAGAGAGGGTGGAAGAGTGGGGGAACGCTTAATTGGCCCCGGGTAATTATTTTATTAAGTGAGAAGATGGCGGATGGAATGCTAAGAGAGAAAGAGGAGTACGTTGCCGGTGCGGTCTGCCGGTATGGAAGAGAGGGCGTGTTGCTGCTGCTACGAGGTGGAAGGGGATCCACAGAGAAAGAGAGAGAGAGAGAGAAATAGAACGAGAGGGTAGGTTTAGTAGTGGGGAAGTAGGTGACGGTGTGGAGAGCGTTTAAATACCTACGTACCCACAGAGAGACGATGGGAATACCGCGGCATCGAGTTTTCCGTGTACGTGAACGCATTTGCAACGTATCACGCAGGGTGTTCACGTTTCTCTATCTCTCTCTCTCTGTATATCACGCTAGCACATGGAACACACCTATAGAGATTATTGTCGAGAGTGTATTGTCTCGTTGGTGGCAGGTATAGGCGCGCGAGTGAACGAAGGGAAAGGACGATGGAAAATTGTTCCATGGTTAAAGAAAGACAGGGAGTAATGGGGAGGGATAGAGAGAGAGAGAGAGAGAGAGATAGATAGGTAGGTAGATAAAGAGAGAGGGAGATAGGTATAGTTACGATGGAGATAAATAGATGGACGAAGAGATAGAAGAGGGAGGAGGAGGAGGAGGAGGAGGCAGCTTTCTCTCGGTCGCGAAGGAGGAACATCTATTACCCGGTACATAGGCCAACGTGGCGGGGATATCGTCGAGGGTGGAGGGGTGCGGGCAAGAGTAGTCGAGCGGCAAATTGTCCGCCATCTTACCCACCTTATACCTTACCTCACACCCTCGCCCCGTAACCACCCTTACTCCGGATCCTACCACTTCCACGCTTTTCTTGTCTCTCTCCAACTGAACTCCCTCCCTTCAACCCCAAACCATCGCGAGCTCCTTTCTCGCACAGCTCTTTCTCCGACGCGCCTTCGCCTCGAAAGCTTTAGATTACCTACCCCTTATAAGCGCTCGTGTTGCCCATTTATTACCGCGACGACTCTTCCTAGACTACTCTCTCTCTACCGACGCCGACGTTTTTTTCATTCCTATCTCTTTCTTATAACGTCAAGAAGAGTCTTTATTTTCTTATAACACGTCGAGTATCTTCTCTTAAACGTATGCATCTCTCTATCTCTCTCTCTCTCTCTCTCTTTCTTTTTATTCTATGTAGGCATGCATACGTACGTATGCAAATACGTTTGCATCTATAGTACCTGTATGTATGTATGTATGTATGCATATATATATGAAGGTATATATATCCTCCACTTCTCTATTCGTCTCTTTCTCTATGTGGTACAACGATGAACGTAGCTCACTCTCGTGAGGAGCTCGAATAACACGATTAGTCGAGTTTACAGAGAATTACGCGTACCTCCGCAACGAGGAGTCACCGATTCGCTATGCCAGCGAAATCGGAATCCGGTTAATACCGAACAAACCGTACCTACCTACTATCTCTACCTCTGACGTTTTCATTAAACGACCAAATCCATTCTTTCTCGTACTCCTTTTCTCTTCTTTCCTTTTTTTCTTTTCTTTTCTTTCTACTTTTACTTTTATACCTTTTTTTTCTTTCTTTCTTTCTGTGATCTTCTCGCTAGCGATCGTATTAACGATCGAATTTTTCCTCGTCGTAATTCGTACGAATACATTTTGTCAAGTTGTTTCAATACAATGAAACATCAACGCGACGTATTAATCGAAAGTGTTAGAAAGGTGTATGGCTTCCCCCCCCCCTTCCCCATTGACGAGAAAAAAATCATCAGCGAGGAATGAAAGAAGAAATAACGGCGGAAAGAGCAAAGACAATGTGAAAGAAAAATAAAAAAAAAAAAAAAAAAAAGAAAAGAAAAGGCAGGAAGGAAAATGGGAAGGGCGAGAGCGAGCCGTGGTCGAGAACTCGGTCGATGAAACGTTTCCGCAGGGAATGCGGGAGGGAAAAAAACAAGAAGAGCGAGAAAAAGAGAACAGGAGATAAAAATTGGAGAAAAGAAAAAAGGAATGCTAGAACGGACGCGAGAAAGGGTCGGCTTCGGGGGCGGGTGGTGGGGGGGCTAAGGGTGGTTGTGGGAGTCGAAAGAAGGTGTGGGTGGTCCACTACGATAGAAAAAGATAGGACGGAGGAAGGATAAGGATAGGGGGAGGGTGGTAAAAAGTGCGAAACGGAGATGGCATTCTGCGTTGTAAAGTTTTGCGAGAGGCCGCAAAAGCGAGATCGCGCGCGCGCACGTTCCTGAGAAACAGAGAGAGAGAGAAAGAGAGAGAGAGAGAGAGAATTGGTTGACGGGTGGTTGCTTCGGCTCTGTTCTCGTTCGTTTCCTCT